GATTTGATCTTTTAACTAGTTAGACTTAGCTACCCATTCTATTATCACTAATTTTCATTCATAAACTATTTTCGCTAATTCATCCAAAAAAAACTATTTTCGCTTCGGTTTATCCTAAAAAAATAAATTTTTGCTTAAATTATTCAAATAACATGTAAGAGTGGGTTGACCTGTCCCACTCCATACCCGAGCAGGTATTACTCGCCCCGACCCGCGTTGGTATTACTCATCCCGACTTGCACTTGGTGTGGGGCAGGTATAGGTTTTGAGATTCTCGTCCCACCCCATTCATTTGTCATCACTAACGTAAATTTGTTAATTTTTATTGTTTTCAGCGACAGCTCACAGGTATCATAACATATATATGGGTTATACCTATGGTGCTATCGTGATATGGTACCTTTAGAGGTCATTCGGATGGGGAATTTTAATAACGAGCGATTTGAATCGAAATCTCACGATTTAAAATACCTGAGAATGTATACATGGGAATTGTGACAAATATAGTGGCTGTTGAGTGGAAGAAGAAATGTCACGAGGAGATGAAATCGTTGGTTAATTGTGGTTGGTGTGTGGTGGTGGGTTATATCTTTATACGGATCATGGGCCGGACTTAGTATTGGGCTTTTCGTTGCATGCTTGTCGAGCCTGTTGTTGTTCCTGCGGGTTAGTTTCAGAATCCCGTTGTGGTTTTACGCAATGACATTAATTTCCACAATCTATTTATTTATTTTTTATCACGGAATATCATCAAACTCGTATGCAAAAGTCAAAGGAAAAACATATGTTCTCTCCAAGATCTCATTCTCCAAACTACCCTTTAGTTCCAACTCTTTTTTTTTTCTTGTAAACATTCAAATCGTTAATTTAATGATAATATTTTTCACCATCCATCCCAAGCTAGGGCTTACTGAAAAGAAATGGCAATTATAAGCAGACAAAACAGCTGAAGATGCAAATCTTTTCGCCACTAGGGGTGTATGGAGAAGGAAATCAGCATGTACTGTAAAATCGTACCAAAGGTTGTACCAGATAAATCGGTGATATTGTATTGTGTGCTTATCGCGATTTAATTTTGATTCAACCCGTTTTATATTGATAAAATTCTATAACGTTTTGGGTTCCGATAAGCAGGTTTAAACTACTAGTACTGTATGGTTTATTAAACACGTACAATTTAAAATATGTATAACACGAACTAAGAAAGTACATTTAGCAAACACTACTCAAAATATGTAAGAACATGAACTAAGAAAGTGTAGTCTACAACCAAAAGAGACACAACATATGTACTACATTTGATTAACCTTTTCAGTATTAATGATTCAAAAAAATGAAACCCTAAAAACTAATTTGGTTTTCTCAGTTGAAATACGCCAAATGTTCGAACCATAATCAAACACAACAAGTCTACAAAAGTGGCAATGGATAATTGGATACCACCTAGCCAATCTCAAACAGAGAGAGGATAGAGAGAACGTTGAGTAAGTTGCAATTAGAAAAATGTGGTTGTGAATTCCTCCACGTTATAACAAAGAACACAAGATTAGGCCTCTATGACCCTCGTTTCTTCAAGTTATCGATGATTTCAATGTTCTCGTGGAATGTGACTCATATAAAAGAGCAAATTTTCTTTAAGACCACCTGAATTCAAATCTCATGCTAAGGAAAAGTCATTCAAGCCTCATAAATTCGCATACGCCATTTAAAGAAAGTGAGATCTGAGCAAAAACTGATTGTTCTTTTTCCTAGGTCATGACAACATAGTTGATCACAAATTATTATCGAGTTTTTGGAAAGGTTTGATTTTTAATTTGTTTGTTGAATTTATGATGAATCGAATTTGATCTATTATTGATTTGGGAAATCATTATATCTGGTATACAAATTAGACGATTATAGGTATTGGTTTTCTACTATTATGAATTCATAAATTTGTTGTATGAGAGAGGCGAATGCTCATATGCTAACAATTTACGGTATGGATTTTGTTGATTATCACCGGTATGCATGTTCAATTTCTAGCTAAGATAAGTATCACAAACCTTTGTATGGCATAGGCACTACGAAGCTTCTAGTACCGATTCGTCTGCCCTTTATACGAATTAGGCCATCTTAAATGGCGTTACGCGAGTAATTTGCAAATATTGTTACTCTTGATAATGGAACCGCTTTGATAGCCGAGAAAATTGGGTACCCGGTCAAAGTGGATCGGGCCACGTTGACCGGGGACCGGGGGCATTATGCCCATGTGTGCGTGGAGGTGGATATGATGAAGCCCCTCCTCTCACAGTACAAAGTGGAAGGTCAGACATACTATATCATTATGGAGGAAATCATTATGGAGGAAGCCCCTGTGGAGAAACAGGCTGTCAACCAACCCGCCCACTCCACTGTGAGTATTGTGACAAACCAGTTGGAGACGATGGCTGGAAATGCTAGCGTGCCGGTGCATGCAATCCCAAACAAGCCAGCTGGTGACGTGATTAAGTAGAACCTCGCCAGTTCGACTCAAATTGTGCCCAATCAGCTCGGGGGTGAGCACCTACCACTTGCAGGGTCGACTTTCCAGGGTGGGAAGCTGGGTATCAACGGCCAACCACCCCCTGCTCAAAGAGATGAACTTACTACGGCGTTCATAGACAATGAGAAGACCCCTGGGACCCTGCCTCCTTTGGTCCTGAAGCAAATTCTAAAGTCGGTGACGCCTTTAGATAGCTCAAAGGGATTGCGGGAGGATGGTTCGGCTAAACCCTCGAGTAGTGTTACTCGGAACAAGGGGAAAGGGGCGCAAGCGGGGGTGCAGGGATCCAAGAAATCACCAGGTTCGGAGGGTGGTGGAACTGAGAGAAAGGAGTAGAGGGGATTGGGGGGTAGACAGAGCCCTCATCATGTCCATCAGCCGTGACCCGGCCTTTAGCCTGCGAGGGAAGCCCTCTTCCTTGTTCTTTTACGTCTTACTTTCTTTTCCCATTATTTTGGATATTCTAGCGTGGAATTGTCAAGGAGAAGGAGCTGAGAATTTTCTCTCATACCTTGCTTCATTTGTTGAGCCCCATCGGCCAGATTAAGTGTTCATTCTTGAGCCCCGTATTAGCGGGGATAACACTCGTTCAGTCATTGCCCGCTCGGGTTTTGATGGGTGTCTTGTCTTTGACGTTATAGGCTTCCCAAGTGGTATTTGGGTCCTTTGGTGGAAGCAGGATGTTCAGGTCATGCCAATTCATGAGTGGAACCAGATGATCCACATGGAGTATATTCGGCGTGGTGTTCGCGGCAGTCGGGTTCTGATTTCAGCGATCTATGCTTGCCCTCATCAGTCATTGATTCACCACAGTTTCTTATGGAGTTAGCAACTTCCATAACTCTACCAAAGTAGTCTCAGACAGATTCTCCTTCTTTCATTTCTAGAATTTCAAAACTCCTCCTAAGACTTTGCAACTGAGCCTTTTGAACTCGTGCATTGCCCTGGTATTTCATTTTCATAGAGTCCCATAGTTCTTTGGAGGTACCTTTGTAGGTGATTGTCTTCAGAATCTCTTGTCTATGGAGTTGAACAGGTAGTTTTTGGCTTTGAGATCCTTCAATTTGAGATCTTCCGGTGTCTTTGTTTTTTCTGTTGTGATCACAGTTCCTTCAGCAGGTTCCTGAAATCCAGTGAAAACAACTCGTCAGTACTCTTTGAACCTCAGAAGATTCTCCATAAGCATGCTCCAGTGCTCATAATCCCATCAAACTTGGGGATACAAGCTTGAGCAAAGCCACCATCACCCATCCTGTTCTTGTCTCTCACCTTGATCGAAACTCACTTTTCTCTCGGGTTTCCCAACCGAGAAAACAAACAATTTCCCTCTTTCTATCTCTCTGTGCTTGACAGCAACTCACTCTTTCTTCAAGCTTGAAAGCTTCTGCAAATTTTGGTTACAGTTTACTTTCGAGCTCTGATACCACAATGAAGACTCAAATGTATTGTAAACTGACACTTTTATCAGAAAGAACAAACTGAACCATAAATACACAGATTCATCCTGCAATCACTACAAGAAAACACACATGCATATAGCTATGCTTTTTTTCGTGGCTAAATCATAAAAAAATATCAGTGATAATGTATTGTGTGTTTAAATCGTTATTTAACTTTGAACGAAACCATTTTATATCGACTTGTGTAAAAAAAAACTATTTTATATCGATAAAATGCTATAACATTTTGGGTTCTGATAAGCAGGTTTTCGATCTAGTCAGGTTGTCAATACTGAATGGTTTAACATACATTACTTAAAATATGTATATTACGAACTAAGAAAATGTGTTTAGCAACAACAAACAAGCACTAAGAAAGTGTCGTCCACAAGCTAAAGAAATACAACCACTACAACAGAAATTGCCTTTTGTGACGAAATTGAATGGTCGCTAAATGTCATTATTTGGTCGCAAAACCTTTGTTGTGACCAAAAATATTTGGTTGAACCCTTGGTCACATTCGCCCCGTTAGGAAAACCAATTTCTAACCAAAATTTTGATTTGGTCACAATACACGATCATTTTGTAACGAAATGCCAAATTGGTCACAAAACAAATATTTTTGCAACCAAAGTAAGTGGTTATAACAACTCATGCGGAAAGGTCACGAAAAAGTACTTGATTGGTCACAAATAGTATAAAAAATAACCAATTAAAATATTTTTTACCTACCAAATGATTAAGTCACAAATACCATTATTTAAAACCAAAAAATTTGGTTACAAACATATTATTTATAACTAATGTAATCTACCTTAAGTAACCAAAAATTTTGGTTGTGAAACTGTTATCCTAACTAATATTTTATGGTCACCACAATCATTTCTGGTTTTGAAAAGTATATAATGTAACCAATCTATTATTCAAAAAAATTCACTTTTATTGGTCACAAAAATTATTTCCAACCAATATTTTGTGGTAATCATATCTTGTAGAGGTAACCATTTTTATCCAACTAATTTATTTATTTTAGAGTAACCAATTATAATAGTCACCATCATTATTTCCAACCAAATATCTATTTACATTCGTCAACAGCAGTTGTAGTTCATAACTACAAAAAAAACTAAAATACAAAAATGAGAAAAAGTAAATATTCCAAAGAGAGGAGCATGATAATCTACTGTGTTGACACCATCATCCTAGGAATCTGAGAAGGCCAATGTCCAAATCATCTGCTGCAAAATTCTTCAAATCCTTTTGCTTCTCCTGTTGCATCCAAATAACCAGCTCAATTTTATGAGAAAGCTCAGGGTGGATAAAATATATGGGTTAGTAGTTAGTACTGTGACAGACCATTCAGATCTAATACTCCAATGAAGTACGAAAGAGAAAAAGATGAAAAAATCCCTAATTCTTAAATAAACCTTACCCTCCCTTTCCTTCTCCGGCGTATCATCCTTCTCAACCATTACACAAAACACAGAATCAATGTACAAGTATATGCATTTCAACTCTCCAAATGCTAAGAGCAATTAAGAGATGAGAAACTCACATCTGTTTCTGAACATAGCTGCCCAGCGAGCATCACATGGTGAGTGGAGACTTAATCGTTGATGAGAGGTGCCTATCTACTTGATGTCCAGAACTGAATGGTTCACTATCTATTCATTTTCTAATAAAAAGGCGATAAATTAAGAACAAATAAAAGACAAACAGACGAGAGATACTTACATAGTTAGCCTCTACAAATTCATTTCGCCATCCTTCTGTCTCATAATAGTAAGCCACTTTATATATGCTGATTCGATCACACTCTTCTCCACTATTCGCTACTTCTGCAAACATACAAGAAAAAAACATACACTGCTTAGAACCTCTCAGTGATATCTTCAACTTGCAGATGCATCTATTACAAGAGTAAGCAAATTCTATTGCAGACCACTAACCATCAAGCACAAACAGATATTGTAGACCCCCCCCCCCCCCCCCCCCCACTCAAACAAGAGTAAGCAAATTCTATCGGTTCTAATAAAATACAATCAGTATAAAGAAATTAGGCTTACATTTAGTATGTCATAAGCTTAACGTAAATGGGGATCTCATCCATGATCATTCAATATGTTATATTATCCCAGTCAGCAGGCTGTGAAAGATGGAAAACACTGAATTAGAATTTCATCTCCTACTTAACGACCATTAAATATTAGCAAAAGAACACCAATTCTATGGCCAATTGATATCAAACCACAAACAATACCAACCTTCTTTACCTATAACCAAGTTTAATGATGCTCCTATTACTACCATCAGAGTTAAACATACAGGTGGGTAGTAAACAGAATGGGAGATTGGTTTGAATATACTGATCAAGTACCACAATTAAGAATGAGTCAACATAATAATGAAACCCCATCTGGGAAATATGAGATTGAGGTGGAAACATTTCAAGGAGATCTAGATGTCTATTTTCCTTTGAGTTCAAAAGCTATAATATTAAGAATGCATGGGAAAGACAGGGCATAAGCAAGAAGACAACCACTCATTGTCCAAAAAAGAACCCTAAACTAAACTAATCAAGCCAAATACTACATAACAAGCCGAGCGATGATAAGGAGTCATACCTTTGTTAACAATCATTTCCCCCAATATACACTCAAGTAAGAGACTAATACAAAGCCACAAGAATCCCTTACCTCTTATCCCATCGGCATAAATACTTTTATCTTCGATGACACCATTGACATCACCAGGAGTAACGATGCATTAATTGAGTCATCCCCAAGACCAAGCGCCATAGAAAAGCAATCTGCAGGTAACTGGATATGTTTTTTCCCCTAAAACACCAGTAGATGCAGAATGTAGTCTACATAAGTACATATCATTACATAAATCATCATGAATTCGAAAACAAGCAACAAAAGCACTGGAAGCTTAGAATCCCACACTAAGGGATGCAAATTGATCCTCAACTAAGGCCAATAATAATCATTATAGCAAAGGGGTAATAAGAAATTCCAAAAATTGCTAGAATTTTACATGAGTCGAGGAGAAGAATCAGCTGAAGTAGAAGAAACAGAACTTACAAATTGTTTGCAATCATATCTCTGGATATTTTGTATGTTCTCATATGCATCCAAACTGAAACAATCCAATCCGAGATCAATTAATTATGAACATGAACTTATTGAAAAATCAATGACACTAGTTCTACATACTCATTACAAGCCCCAAAACTAAAGAGTAATCACTTACAGTATCTACTAGTTCTACCAGCTGCAAGGCCCAAAAGCTGAAACATGAATGTGTGTACGTTGAATTTATTGCAAATAATAATTAAGAACTGTCAATGCTTCTAATTCCTTCTCTTTACAGAGTCAAAACACCCAAGTAACCTAGAGCAGCAAAACAAGCTAAATCAGAGAAACCAGAATGAAACCATATCAATAAAGCACATGAAGGAACAGGGGAAAAAAAGAGTCAAAATACCTTGCAAATGATTAGATCACCATCATCATCATACTTTAACATCTTCCCCAGCTTGCCCTTCGTCCTCCTCCTCTCCAGCTGCTGCTGGCTTCCTTTGCAGTTTGTTCTTCATAAAACTTGAGAAACCCTAAACCCCCTCCAAATGGAAAATGCAAGGCAGAGATAGAGTGAGAGCGGTGGGGAGATTTAGGAGCCGTAAGAGCTTACTAGTGAAAGGCTTGCATTTCAAACAAGGACCAAACTGGTTACACCATCTAAGCCTACAAGATTTACTGAACCGGCCTGGAAACCCCCGAGAGATCAAGCTCTAATTCCTCGACCCGAACTTACTCACCAGTTTATCTAGCAATGCATCTTCCTCCCGCGACCAAGGTCCCTTCACTCTACTGTTCGTGAATCCCCCGCTTACACCTCTGTCGCCAGAGTCCCCGCCACCAACCCTGACCTTGTAGAAAGTAAATGCAATTGCAAACTGACCAAACCTAACCAGAAACGAGCAATAACTAGGAAAATCGAACAGTTAACCTCCCATGGATGAGAATATCACCTGCGATTCTGAACATCGCAGCACGAGTAATCAATCAATTGAACAACGAATCCCTTCTTGACGCGGTCGTTGAGCTGCCTGGCGAGCATCGCATGGTGAGTGGAAACTGAATAGGAGAGAAGAGGTGCCATTGTGGTTACAATCTCCACAGTGCCCTTGTGGATCTGAACCACCGGCTTCAATCTCAAATCGCCGCCATTGTGGTTCCACCTCCACAGCGCCCGAGGATCTTTCTCGAGTCCATTTTCGGCTTCGCGGGGACGCAGTTCCCGGCGGACTCGAAAGAGTCGGCAACGATCTCTTGGACGAAGGAGTCAGCGACCGCGATCTCAAGGGTTGGAAGAGTGAGCGACGACGGCTAGGGATTTGGAAGAGCTAGCGGAGCGGAACTAAATTGTTTCCCAGTTCCCAAATCCCAATTTTAGTTAGAAAGAATAGCGATGACAGGGAAAAATATATAGACCATCATTAACTTTATGAGCAAACATAACCAATAAATTTGGTGGGAAAATTATTTTATTGCTTTATTACCAATATTATTAGTAATGTAAACTTTAATTTGGTCACAATTTTTTTTTCTTTGTAAGTGACTATTTTAGCATGTTTATGTGACCAAAAATATTGGCTACTTTAAAAAGCATTAAGGATAATAAACAAATAGTTTTGGTTAGGGAAAAAATTCAACATTTTATTACTAAATTTTTTGGTCATATAAATTATAATTTGGTTATAAGAACTCTTTTTTTAGTTAGTGACCAATTCATCAAACTTTTCATTACTAAAATATAATTGGTCATAAAAAATAAGCCTTTGCCAACCAAAAATAATTTAGTTGCATGGAAATGGTCACAAAAGGCCATATTTGTTGTAGTGAACATTTGATTAACCTTTTCAGTACAAACAATGATTCAAATTAACGAAACCCTAAATTACACTACTACTTTAATTTGTTCAAATGCTTTATCCTCTCTAAACCATGCATTTACAATAACTTGTCCAAAACTAAATAGGCACTACTATAGCACTACTGCTGCAAATCTTCAGGATCCAGTGGTACTAATTCCTCGATCGTCGTGAGCTCCAACGTCCTTGTGAAGTATCGCACAAACCTTTGCAAGCGTGGTAGGATAAGGTGTCAAGAAATCTAAGAACAAGGAAAAGACACCGAAGTTTTTTAACGTGGTATCGTCAGTATGACACTAGTCCACGGAGAGGATCTCCCTCTCAGGTTTTTGTATTGTATTTTCGTTACCCTTCACCAATGATACAAGGTACATATATATAGGTTTCTCCAGAAACCCTACACTACACGGCTAAGGACATTTACATATTTGGTACATGTATTATCATAAACTAACACCCTCCCTCAAATTGATGTTGGGTCCTCAACATCAATTTGGATGATAAATACCAGTGTCTACTCGAACCTACAGCCTTAGTCAAGATATCTGCAGTCTGATCTTCTGTAGACAAGTAGCTAAGCTGAACCACTCCTTCTGCAACAAGCTGTCTAATATAATGAACATGTACCTCTATATGTTTTGTCCTGTCGTGTAATATTGGATTTACTGCAATCTGAATGGCACTTGTGTTATCCCCATAGATCCTCATAGGTAGCTGACAATCTATGCCCAATTCCTGAAACAATCTTTGAAGCCAAACCATCTCTGAGCTGACTTCTGACATGGACCTATATTCTGCCTCTGTAGACGACTTCGAAACCTTATCTTGTTTTCGACACCTCCATGAGATAAAAGACCTCCCAATCTTGATACACCAGCCTGATGTGGATCTCCTAGTATCCAGGCAACCCGCATAATCTGCATCTGCAAAGGCTTCAATAGTCGAATCTCCGTCTACCGGGAAAAACAAACCGACGTCCCTAGTCCGCTGCAAGTATCTCAATATTCGGTGCACAGCATCTAGATGACTAGTGCATGCTACACCCATAAACTGACTCACTACCTGAACAGCATAAGCTATATCAGGTCGAGTGTGTGTTAGATAAATTAAACTTCCTACTACGCTCCTGTAGAAAGTTTGATCTTCTAACAATACTCCATCATCGCGACTTAACTTAACATTTTGTTCCATAGGAGTTGAACACGGCCTGCAGTCTGTGTACTGCGCTGCTTCCAACAAATCATTAATGTACTTCCGCTGATTCAAAAACAGTCCTGCATCATTCCGTTGGATCTCGAGTCCCAGAAAATAAGACGCTTCACCCAATTCCTTGAGGTTGAATGCCGCACGTAATGTCTGAGTCAACTCCTGAATACCTTCTGTATCACTGCCTGTTACAATCATGTCATCTACGTACAATAGAAGAACTGTATTACCGTGAACAGTCTGACGAGTGAACATCGAGGGATCATTCTGGCTTTGCACAAAACCAGCTTGAAGAATAGTACCATGAAACTTTTCAAACCATGCTCGTGGTGCCTGCTTCAAACCATATAGAGAACGCCGTAACCTGCAGACCATCCCTGGTCCCCCTTTCGTATACCCTTCTGGACACTCCATGTATATTGTTTCCTTCAAATCACCGTGAAGAAATGCATTCTTCACATCAAACTGAACAATCTGCCATTTCTTCATTGCCGCAACAGCTAACACACTGCGAACAGTCTGCATCTTCACTACAGGAGCGAAGGTCTCATCATAGTCTATTCCATACTCCTGTCTGAATCCCTGAGCCACCAATCTAGCCTTATATCTCTCCAACGTCCCATCTGGTCTCGTCTTGACTGTGTACACCCATCGACATCCTATTACTGAAGTTCCAGGAACACGTGGAACCAAGTCCCACGTATTATTTTCTTCCAATGCCCGGAGCTCCTCCTTCATCGCCGTTTCCCAATTAATATTGCCCTGAGCATAGCGATAACTACTGGGTATAGGTATCGGTTCCGCCGAAAATCCTACATCATAATCACCCAAGTGCTTTGGCGGTTGACCCAAATTGCTTCGAGTGGACCGCCTCGGTTGGGGCATTGGAGGCGGTGTTCCCAACCCGTATCCTAGTTCACATGCAGACCTCGTTGTGTTGGACGAGGAAGATGAGTTCTCACTAGTGTGTGTACTGCGTGTGGGAGAAAGAGAAGAGGCTGCCGTGGTAGGACTTGAAGAAGGGCTTGAAGGACTTGAAGAAGTTGTTGTGTTATGACTTGAAGCCTGCGTGTCATGGCTTGAGGAAATAGCAGCATTTGGCCCCAAAGAGGGCGGTGAAGAATTAGAAAAATTGCTCCTTGAGGAGCTGTCGCTATTGGAGGAAACAGTCACCGAAGGACCAGCTGAATCCATGGAATGATTTTCGATGATATCCCCTCCCTGAAAATCATTACGGGCAGGCGGTGGAGATATATCAAACTCAGGAAGAGCCCTCAAAAAATCTAGATCAGAGGCATCACTGTGATCAGCTACGGGATAGTACATCACTTGTTCCAAAAAGACGACATGACACGAAATATGCATACGGCGGGCAAGAGGATCATAACATAAGTAGCCTTTGTGTTGGCTACTGTAACCAACAAAAGCACACCGAACTGTCTTGGGAGATAACTTGTCACGAGCTTTCTTCGGAAGAAGCACAAAACAAAGGCAGCCGAACACCCGGAGCCGAGAATAGTCAGGATCCTTAGAGTACAGCTGCTGAAATGGAGAGTGGTGACCGAGAACCGGGGTAATTTGCCGATTAATTAAGTACACAACTGTAGTGACTGCCTCTACCCAGAAGGAACGCGGAATACGAGAGTGAAACAGCAAAGCTCGGGTTAACTCCAAGACGTGACGGTGTTTACGTTCAACCAGTCCGTTCTGCTGCGAGACACCTGGACACGACTGCTGAGGCAAGATGCCATGTTCCTTATAGAAATCAAGCAATGGCGTTGAGCTAAATTCACCCCCGGGATCTGATCGGATAGTCTTGACTGTCTTACCAAACTGAGTGAGCACCATCTGAACAAAATGTTTGGCATGAGTAACCAGCTCCGACTTCCGACGTAGGAAATAAATCCAGGCGTACCGAGTAGTGTGATCAATGAACAAAGCAAAATACTGGTAGCCCATGCGAGACACAATTGGCGAGGGACCCCATAAATCTGTGTGAACCAGCTCAAATGGTTCAGTATAGACTGTCTCACTCAAGGAGAAGGGAGATTGGGAAGTTTTTGCTTCAATGCAGCTAACACACGTATCATGCACATCAACCAGAGAACCCAAACGATCTGGAATCAAATGACGACGAAACATATCCAATAAACGAGCCCTGTGGGGATGTCCAAGGCGACAATGCCACAAATTCCATAGAGTATTATGTTTCCCAAAATCCAAATTGCCCTTAGGCTTTACAGCAAAGACTGAATTATTCACCAAGGAACTAGAAGAATCCGACGTAGTGGCAACAGTAGCCGACCCACTAAGAGAATGCGCAAAAAAATCATCTACGCGTGCCGCCATCCCAGATTGCTGGCGCGACTTCGAGTCCTCCTCCAAGACACCATGGCTATCCAGAATGAAAACACGACCAGCCTTCTTACCCTTCCCGATCACCCTCCCTGTTTTCTGATCCTGCACAACACAACCTGTACTGTCAAACCGAACCTCACACCCATCTTCAGTCAATTGGCCAACCGAGGCTAAATTAGGAACCAGTTGAGGAACATAGAGAGTGTTATCCAGCCTCACACGACCAGTAGTAGCCGTACCAATACCATGCACAGGAAGACGGGCACCATTAGCAACTTGTAAGGACATAACAGGAGAAGGTTTGATAGATGTAAAACTAGAACGGGCATGGGTCATATGATTAAAAGCTGCAGAATCAAGCAACCAACGAGAGGTACCTGAAGTGCCACCCGTGGCAAATGCAGAAGTCAAGGCAGCCGGAAGAGTCTCCTGGAGCACATCAGCCACCAAACGGCGCACCACCTCAGCAGTCAAAGGAGGCGCAGAAGAAGAACCGGAGCCGCCGGAGGGCGCTGTCGGTCGAGAAGAGACGGCCTCAACCGCATATCCTTGCCCAGAGCGACGGTCAGAGGAACCACCAGATCGAGGTGGCCCTGAGGATGAACCACTTGAACGAGTCCGACGTGCCAAAGACTTACACTCTAGGACAATGTGCCCGGAGCGTTTGCAGTAAATGCAGATATTACGCTTCTTGCAGTGAGGCTGAATGTGCCCAAGTTCATTGCAGAAGTGACAGGTAAGCTGACTAGTGTCATTCTGTTGAAACTGAGGGCGCCCTGGACCACCCCGACCAACAGCAAAGGCCGAGTCACCAGAAGAGAGTGGCTGGTCAAGCTGATGCTGACTGCGAAGACGTGTCTCCTCGCGAATGAGCTCGGCAAGAGCTTCATCAATAGTCCCAACCTGCCGATGCAAGAGGG